AGGAGGAGGTCGGCGACGGCCTCGGAGGAGGAGATAGGTGGCCGCCGGAGGGAGCCTCGCGCTGAGGAGGAGGTCGGCGACGGCCTCGGAGGAGGAGACAGGTGGCCGCCGGAGGGAACCTCGCGCTGAGGAGGAGGTCGGCGACGGCCTCGGAGGAGGAGATAGGTGCTCGTCGCGTGCCTCCCGATCCTGATCCCTGCGTGATGTCGCCGCGCTAATTCCAGGTCAAACGGCATGCGTCATCGTGAAAGCGGCGCGAAGAGGTTTGTTTCTGGCGTTTTAAAGTACAGCCGCATAGGAATTAGCGAGGGGAGACACGGGCAGAGCAAATATATGTAAAGGACGGCCACCACCTGCTGCTCCTCCAGGTGGTGCATGACCACACCCTGCAACTCCTCCAAAGTGTGTCACATTCGTCCAAACATGACACGAGGAGTGTAAAAATACTCCTCATCCTCATAATCACCTAGAAAGATACATGAATAAAAATAAAAGCCATGCACGATTCGACTACCGTCTGGTCTCTCAGCAGCAAGGCGATTGCTACACACATATCCAATCGGAGAAATAAAAAAAATGGATTTCAAAAACTGCTCTGGGGAAGCCCAAGGGCGACAGGGCGACTCTCTTGACCTCATTCAAAAGCGCAGCGCGACGAGCGACGCGGCGCAGCGCGCGCAGCGTTGTTGTTTCTTCTTTCTTATTTTTTTTTATATTCTTCGCACCCCCCCCCTTTTCTTAACGGGCTGCCTAACTGCCGCGGCGTCGTATATGTCGCCGGTGCCGGTAGTGATGCGCACTGATTTGTCGCCACTCCCCCCCCCCTTGGTCTCTTACCCAACCCTATTTCCAGACGCCTCTTTCTGTGTGTAGCGGTATCATGACACGGCCACGCCACGCCGCGACGCCGGGAGGACGACGCGTCGCACCGCGCAGCACCGCGCGGACACGCCTGTCTTTTTGCAGCCACAAAACCCCGCTCGGGGTCAGGCGCAGGGCTCAAGGCTCATAGCTGCATTTGGTCGGAGACAGCCGGAGGTGTTGTTAAAAAGAATAGGTTTTGAAGATTTTCTTTGCCGTTCAAATAATTATGGGGTTGGATTAATTTTTTATTTTTAATGGTAAATTATGCTGACTCTCACGGCAAACAGGTGGTGTGAGAAGTTAAATTTAATAAATTACAGTCAGTGTTTTCAGTTTTCTAGAAATCAAACTCTGGTCGCTTAGTCGGAGCGCCTGGTGGGTAGGCCAGAAACGGCCACGCTGTTTGGGCGGGTGGCCTACCCTCGAGTCAGCAGGCGTCTAGGGCTGGGGCTGTAGTCTGTTGCACAGACCACAGCTGTTGGTGGCTTGGTGCTGTGATAGACACCGTCGGAGACAGTCGTTGACGCTACACACGCGTAGCGAGCAGGGCTGGGGAGTGCGTACCTTGGTAGTACAGTACCAGCAGGTATAGTGCATTGGTACTTGATACCTTACCTACAGGTACAAACATTACAATACCTAACCCGACACCTAGGTACTTTCTGGTCTACCCGAGCTGGCTTTCTCAGATACTGCTCCCGGTACATTTTGGGGGGAACGCGTATTACGAGAAAATCGAGGAGACAGGAGCAAAAGACAGAAAGCAGGACTCGGATTTTCGTAGAAGAGACCTCTTCCCGGTCCCTCACCCCAGGACATGTGTGGTCAGGAGACCTTGCTGCCATCTGGTCGTTGTCGGTGAACGGGCATCAGGTCGGTCTGAAGATGGTCCCCAACACTCTGCAGGGGGGACAAAGGGTCTCCGTGCGGGGGAAAGGAAGAGGGGGGGGGGGAGGCTGCGCGATGCGTAACGAATTAGGGTAAAGCGGCACATGTTTATGCGCGCTGGCGCAAGAAAAGCAGAAACATGTCAAAAATGATGGTGGCAGGGGATTCGTTCTGGAGGCAGAGCAGGGGGCTGGGCATCAATTATAACGGAAAACATATTGACCGTGATCTACCAGAAAGAACCTAAAGTCCGCGTAGGTACTGGACTAAAGTGCCTTTACAGTACGTACCGAAGTTTCAGTATACCTTCCTTACCCTTGCTGGAACGAGCGCCGAGAGGGGGCCGGGGAGGGGGGCTGCAGGTGAACTTGTGGCCCAGAGACCTACTCGCACTCGCGCGCTGTAGACACTGCGAGCAGCGGCGTGTCCCCGACCCCCGCGGCCCCCGGGCCCGGCCCCGCGGCCCAGTCAGGCCCGGCATCAACTCCCTGTTATACGTCGCGTCCTCTCTCTTTGAGGACGTCTCGCCTGCAACTCTCCGACTCGTTGCGGCAAAGCGCTGCAGCTCTGCATTCGAAAAGACGGCAACTCGTCATATTTCGCACATACATATAGTTTACAAAGAGGCAGCAAGGGTGACGCAAACAACGTCCCCAATGAATGCGTCGCTGTGCTGCTGCTGCTGCTCCAGTTGGAGTGGCCAGGTGTGTCAGCACATGCCGCCTATCCGTAGCACAGTGCAGTGTTGCCTCGTTCAGCGCCCCGCCCGCCCCGCCCCACTCCGGCAGCTCTCCTTGACAAATCGTTGGGCGCAGACCAACACACTCGCGCGCCGTTTTTCTCGGTACGACCTTCCGTCGCTAACCCGTACTCACGCACACATAGTCGCGCACGCACACACACATACACACACACTCACGCATGTCTGCATTCATTTAGATTTAATCTGGGTCAATCCCAACGGGTGCGCACCTTCGCAGAGCCAGCTACGCCCCATAGCGTCAGCAATCGACACGTTACTGTCTCTAATCCTGCTGTAGCCTGCAGCCGCATCAGGACGGCCGCCGCTGGACCGTGACAGAACGAACGTCGTCCGTCTCAGCCGACGATGAGTTGTTGTACAGTCCGCGACGCCTTGGCCCTGGTCAGGGCTGCTCCAGACTGCTCTGTGCGCCGCGCGGTCAGTCAGCGGTTGGGTAACGCCGGCGCCACAACGCACGTAACGTTACGCGGCCCACGCACCGTGACGCGCCGTGGCGCGCCGCCTCTGCAGGGCTCTAAGCAGCCGTGACCAGTCGCATCCCATACCGGACATGTCATCATCGGAAAAGCGTTTTCGAACTTTCGATGATGGCATGCGTGACACATGGCCCGTTGGTTGGGGGTCTTATGCGTTTTTAATGCTGTCACGCTGGCTGAAGGGGCCTGATGAGTTCTCTTCGGAGTTCTCAACTCGCGCAAGAGCACCATCGCATCGCGGGCGACGTCATCCTCCTCCCTCGTGGCGGTCACAGGGAGCAGCAGGTGCACGCGCCGGCCCCGCGGGCCGCGTCCGGTCCCGGTCCGTCTCGTGAGTTTTGTCACGACCCGTACCGGTCCGCGCGGCCTCGTACCTCTGTCCTGCCTCGACGAAAAGTAAAAACAACGCGCGAACAAGACAAAATGACTCAGTGTGTGTGCACGCGCGCGCGCCTGCTAGGTGTGTGTATGTCACTACCCTTGCCCATCTGCGCACGACCGCGCCCGTGTGAGTTCCCCGTGACAACGAAAGCAAGCAAGCAGTGACCGTCTAAGTTACGCCCTCCCCCCTTCCCCCTCTTGTCCTCCCACTCCTCCTTCTCCTCCTCCAGGAGCACTTTCTCCGCCTACGGTGGCCGCTGCTGCCCACCTCACGGTCAACAGCTGACCACCTCACCCCCCCTCTTCACTATCCTCTCTCCCCCTCTCCTCCTGCTGCGCGTTCATCGTCCTCTCCTCGTTCCCTCACATTTTCCCACCCTCTTGTGCCGTCATCCGGTCGCGTCCGCGGTGCGTCGCCGCGCGCCTTGGCCGCGCCGGTCGGGTAGATCGTCCTTCGTCACTCTTCGTAACCGAACGTATGGGCCAGAGGCACGCCGCCGACGCTGCCGCCGGTACGGAGCACCGAGCCGAGAACCCGCCGTCTGCTTGAGAGACATGTTAATTTCCCAGAAATCAGCCCGGCCGCGGCGCGGAGGGCCGACCTACGCCGACCTGGGCCGTACAGCAGCGCTTTCGCGGTTCAGTAAGAAGTTATTGAGAGTCGGCCGTCGAGCTGCCGGTGCGCCGCCGTAATCATGCGGCACTTCTTGTGCTGCAGCCGCACTCTGTGCAGCACACTGTGCAGCACACTGTGCAGCACAAGGCCCCGGCCGGCCGGCGCGGCGCTTCCAGTCATTGTCCCGGGGGACCTCGCGGGGCCGCACCGCGGCGGCCCGTGTAACTCCAAGCGGAGTGCGCTGCTGGGCCGAGGGCCGCGCGCCGAGGCACGGGGCGCATTTCCTGCCTGGGAAAAGAAATAAATGGAAGGACAAGCCACGGCCCGCCCGGGCCCGGGCCTCCGTGGGCGCGCAGCCTCCGCGGTGATCTCATTGGGAACGGGGGCGGCGCGGGGCGCGGGGATGGGGGAGGGATGATCGGCCGCGCCCGCTACCGGTGTAATGGAGGAATAGGAGAAACGTGCGACGTAACACGCAATACATTTCGGTGGGGCACGACGGCGAGCGCCGCCGCTGGTGCGGTCGCTCGCGTCGCTCAGTCTTCACCCCTTTTCTTTACTTGGCCTGGGTATACCCAATCCATCGTCATATGATGTACTTGCTCGGCTCACAGGCGTTCAACGCGCTGCTGGCAGCATGCCTGCTGGTGCTGGCGGCGGGCCCCGGCCCAGGATCGAGCCGCAGCGTGCCCAGCAGCACCGCCGCCCCCGGGACGGCGTCGTCGGCCGCCCCGAAGCGCGACCTGGAGAACGACATTGACTTCGACGGGCCGCTGTCGAGCGGCGAGCAGCAGGCGGCAGCAGTGGATCAGGTAACGAACGCGCTAAGATTTGACGCCTGTAAAGTAGAACCTCAGTAACTGAGATTTTTTGGGGAGCAGGTGCTGAGCCAGGTCCGCGGCGTTGCCGTCGACGCGGAAGAGACCGTGGCCGAGGTGCAGAGGATCCTCGAGAGGCACCCGCAGCTCCCGCGGCTCTCTCGGACCGATATCCTCTCGATCCTGGAGAACATCACAAGGACGGCGTCGCCAGCGGATGCGGTCGGGACGACCACGGCGGCCCCACTAATGACCACGAACGCGGGTAGCAGCGCCGAGCTCACCGACGGCCCGGACTTCCCCTACGTCACGGACACCAGCACCCCGGAGTCTGCGGAGGTTTCCGAAGGGACGACCGTTGACGTGGAGGTGACGACGGCAGCCTCCCGCGTCGAGCATTCTCGGGAGCTCATGGTCGTACTCCCATTCAGCGCCAAAAACCTCAGCGAGACCAACATCAAGGAGCTCTACACCAAGATGCCACTCACCCATATCATCGGGGACGAAGGGTAAGCCTGGTTCCGGTCACATCGCCAAATAAATGAACTGATATTTAATTAATCCGATATGATGCGTTTACAGGAATGAATACACCAGGGCCCCATCACGAAAGTCAACGCGACCACAACGTCGAAGACCCGCGCAGACGTCCACACCCGCCCCCACAACGGCTCCGGCCCCGGCCTTCCTGGACTACAGGGTGACGGAGGACTTGGACAGCGACGCGCCGCCCCCACCTCAGGAGGTGTTCGTCAAGACGCAGCAGAAGACGCGGCCCCAGTACGTGGAGCAGAGGCACCGGTGGCGCGCGCCTTCAACGTCCACCCCGGCGTCGGAGCCGTCCTCTGAGGAGGACGACGTGGACTACACGACCAAGAAGCGGCGCCCGGCTTCAACGGGTCGGCCCTGGAGGGGTACGCGCAGGACGACCCCCGCCCCCACGACAGCGTCGACAACCACCGCGGTGCCCACCACCGAGAGCACAGTGGAGCCGACCGTCGTCCCCAGCAACCACAAGCCCTACTACACGGAGCCGACCATCAGGCCATGGAGGGTGACCACCGCACCACCCCCGCCCGCCAGCACCAAGAAGCCCATCATCAAGTACAAGCCAGACTACGATCTGAACCCCGCTAAAAAGCCGTCGGCAAGCGACTGGTCACCCGTCCCCGAACAGCCGGCCAAGGATGTCAAGAGGAAGGAGTCCACGCGTCCTGCCGCGCGCCCCACCGCGCGGCCCGCACCCGTGCGCGGCGCCGCCCTCCCCAGCCTGTACGACATGAAGAAGGCCGTGCTGCCGGCCACCACCATGCGGCCCCTGGTGCGCGACGACGTCAAGGAGCTGCTCGCGTCCATCGGCCTGAAGACAGGGGCCGTGGCCGTGGCGGCGCCCAAGCGCAGCACGCTGGCACCCACCACCTCCACCACGACGACCACCACCACGGAGCCCCCGGTGCCCAACGCGGCCAACGCCGCCGAGTCGCTGACACCGGAGATGAAGGACATCCTCATGTCCATCGGACTGCTGCCCGGCAAGGACGACCCCCCGGCCGCAGCCCCAGGGTCAGTGCCAGCTGCCCAACAGCCCACCATCACCACGCAGCCCATCGTGCCGCCCGTGGACCCCAGCTCGTACGTGCAGTTCAAGCCGTTGCCGCTCGCTGGCCAGGATAACCCTCTGGCGGCTCAGCCCGGGCAGGTCAGCGAGGACATGCAGGAGTTCTTGGCCTCGTTCGGCCTGGTGCCCGCCATCCAGTCGACCCGCATCGTGTCCACTCCGGACGAGTACTTCAACATGGACGACCTGTCCAGCGCGCGCCGCGGCAAGACGCTGCAGGAGGCAGTCGTGCCCGAGGAGCCGCTGCCGGAGGCGGCAGCCCTCGAGTCCGAGCCCCCCGTCCCCGCGGAGCCCGAGACGGACCCCGACAACACCTCGTACGCCGAGCTGGGCAACGACGAGCCGCTGCACGAGCAGCTGCCCTCGCCCGCCAGTCTGCTGTCCGAGGCCCGCGACAAGGAAGTGATTGCCTCACTGCCTCTGCCGGACGACATGAAAGCCGTCCTGGGCGACATGGGCTTCATGGGCGACTCTCGTTCAGAGCAAACGGCTCGTCAATCCAAACGAATCGCTGGGCAGAACGGCAAGGACAGGCACGTCTTCAACCCCGTGGTGCACTCCGCAAAGCTGGACGACCGCGGGGAGGCGGAGAAGGTCATCAAGCTGCTGTCCAGCATCCGCGTGCTGCCCATAGGCCCCAACGGCACCGCCATCATCCCCGAGAGTATCGTCACCGAGCTCGCCGCCGCAGCATCCGGCTTGCCCACGACAGCGGCGTCCGGGACCACGCCCTCCTACGGCTTCAGGAAGAAGGAGAAGAAGCGAACCGAGCAGCACCGTCTGGAGGAGGAGGACGGACCCAGCCCGCTGTCAACCGAGGAGCTACGTCTGTTCCTGGAGACGGCCAAGAACGAGGTAAAGCGACAGCAGGCGGCGTCGAGCAGCGCCTCGGCCTCGGCCTCGTCCAGTTCCTCCTCTTCCTCTTCGTCGTCATCGTCAAGCAGTGCCAGCTCCTCGTCGTCGAGTGACGCCACAGCCGTGACTGGTTACGACGAGAATGCCGCCGAGCTGCCCACCACCATCAGCGACAGCCTCGCGGGGGCCGCCGCCGGCGCCGACTCCGAGTCAGAAACCACCCCCGCGCTGTCGTCCTCCACGACAACGACGACGACCACTACCACCACGACGGAAGCGCCGACGGCCAACCTGGATGACCTGGCCGCCTCGTTCGGCGGTGATGGCGACAGGCCGAAGAACACCGGCCCAGTGGACACTCTCCCTCCGGCGAGGCCTAATGGGCTTTATTTCTTGTTTGATTGGAACACATTTCTTAATGTCGGCGAGGAGGGGAAAAATCCAGTAAAGCTCAACTTTGCCCCGCGAATCGGTGACCCAAAGAGGTTTATTGAAGTGAAGGTTCCTTGAAAATTAAGATTTTCAAGTGCATAGGTAACGTTGCAGTTCTGTTGTGATTGGCTGACGTGTTCCATTTACTTTTGCTCTTGTTGGAGACATTAACGGTGCCAAAACATAAGGAAGGTAGTTGAAAGACTTGAGATTTAACTGGCTTATTTATTTGAGTCTCTGTCACTATAAGAGATTGAAAAGGAACTTTGACTGATATATTGTGCTTCATGAATGATTTCACCACAAGACTCAGCGCTGCATTGTAAAATGTTGCATTAGTTACAGACTATTTTATTTTGAGCATTCAGGAATTAAAAGCACTGAGTTCCTGACAACAATCCTCGTGTGATGGGTAGGTACTATTTAATTTGTATGTAAATAATATGTAAAATATAAGATGATGAAAATAAAAATAAAGAATATACTATTTATATGTCCATGTGTACGTCAGTTTGTAATCTTCTTTGGCTCTACACATTAATAAAAAGGGCTGGTGAAAAATTACACACACAGCATAAGTTCAGTTGCATATTATTTTGGTGGCACCAAATCAAGCTTACAATACAATAGTCTTTTAAAGTTCAAGTATTTAAGTAAAACATGCAAATGCCGAGTATCATTCATACGTCTAATAAATTAGTATACACACTACTTAATGAGAAACTTCTCTAAAATATCCGATAGAGCAATTTGAAAAGCACTGATTCTATTTAATTCACCAAAATTGAGTTGGATATGATTGAATAAAATATCAAATCATAATTAGAAGATAATCTCATAGTAATCTTCTGATAAAGACAAACCATAACAAGAGACATCCCAAACAGCCATAGACGATTAAAATAATTATTTCTTACTTAGGGATATGAAAAGTGACAACAGCCTCACAGAAGCCTGACTGCTAACAACATAGCCTTGAGTAGAGAAACATAATAGATACACACAATCTTTTTAAGATGAAGGCAAGAAAATATCACACAACATTTATTAAGAAAAACAACTAACATGACAGTTAATGGACAATGTAATATTACAGATGAACATGAGGTAACATGCATCTTTAAAGAACATCTGCTCTCAAACAAAACCATAAAGGAGACAAAATTATTGTCAGAATAGACGGACTGGAGCATGCCTAGTTAAACAACAGACACAACAATTCATCATATTGTTAAACATTCAAACAGTAATTTGAGTACATACTATAACTATGAGTTTTTTTTTAAGGCATTTCTAAATATCTCTAGAACGTATATTTTCTTTTTTAGAGAGAAGATGCTTTTAGATAACATAATTCTTCACCTTCCTTTCATAGCACATCAAGATTAAGTAACTTCATTGCACATCTTTGTGAGCTAGGTTGTGAGACTGACTAGATCACCAGTCCGCAAACACATGTGCTGGGACCAGTTAAAAATTCATACTCTCACTGTACACAACCATAATTTGTGTTTGCACTGCAGCACGATGACTGGCTACAATGCTAGAGAGAAACTTCAATTAAAAACTAATAGCATTAAAAACCTATGAGGTACTAGCACCTTACCGCTCAAGTGTCTTTCTATCAGTTCCCTCAACCAGGTATACCTAAAACAATTATTTCCAAGGTGTTAAAAATTCAGAGGAATGTATATAACTTATCACAACAATCCTTGAAGGTACAATTTCAGATTAGATAATTGACTTTACAGAGGATTACTGACAAATACCAATATCTAAGTTGTTGCAGAGCTTACCCCAGAGCTACATTAGCAAAAAAAAACAGAAATTCTCTCTATTGTGCAAAACAAATGGTACAGGAATAATTTGACTTTGTCCCACATACCTCTATAGAAGACTATTTGAATCACAAATAAATTGTACGATGTGAGCAGCATTTGGAGAAGTAGCAAATTATTTTTGGTCATCAGTAGTGGAGGCTGCCATTTTGGCAACCTTTGCAACCAAGCCTTCAATTTGATCAGCATCTTGGAGGCCAATGAATTTGTCAACAACTCTTCCATGTTTAATTGCAAGTACAGCCGGGACTGCTTTCACTTCAAATGTATGAACAAGTTCTGCATTATCTTCCACATCAATGATAGCCAAGTCCAATCCCTCTGTCTTCTCAACTATTTCTCGTAACTGAGGTGTCAGTATCTTGCATGGGTCACACCAATCAGCATGGAAATTGACAATCACTGGAACATTGCTGTTCATCACCTAAGAAAGTAACATAAATTTAAATCTCATATAAGTAACAAAAATTTGTTCCTTAAATATTGTCTATAAAAGTTGCTGATGGGTACTGCTTACCTTTTCCATAAAGTCATCATTATTGGACACTTCAAAAACTTTACAGACAGGACTGGAGTGTGATATGTAGCGAAGGCCACTGGGCTTTGGTTTTAGTCGTCTTTGAGGTAAAAGACAGAATGATCCAGTGCACTGGGCATTTTGTATTATACGAGAGCAGGAAATCTCACGTAAGAATGAATGAGATATCACTGGGTGCTGGAGCAGTCTTGGATTTGCCAGGGCTTCCTTTGTGTTTGGAACCAAGCGGATGTTACGCAAGCATGCAGACACATTGCGAAGAGCCATTGTTGCTCCAAGAGTTTCGAAGATTACAAGCGAAGAAGTCTACAAGGTCCACTTCTTAATGGGTTTAGCAACCCGTGCTTCCATAAGGTGGTCCAGGAAGTAGAAGACCCCACCTCCTACTGCAGAAAGTCCAAGCAGAAGTGCTAGTGCTATTCTCCACAGAAAAAGGCTGTCATAAACCTGAAAACAAAACAAAGAGAAATTTTAATGGAACAAGAAAAGCTTGAAATTGCTGTGAACAAGTCCATTAAAAGTGCAAATGTCATCAAAATGTTTCCATTCAGAAGTCCATACATTATCTTTCATGTCAAATAAATCAGGTGCAAGGTGCCAAAACAGGTAAAGGAGAGAAGTTCATGGAACCCAGAAAGACTCTGGTTGACCTTGACTTAGCAAAAAGCAAAATGCAACCATCTTAAATAATTTTTGTTTTAAAATAGGGACAGCTAGGAAATGAACAGTGAAATAGAGATGAACACAGAGAGTGGAAAGAGAAGAAATATAAAGAGACAAAGAAATACTTTCTGTGAATAAGCTAACTTGAAAATGTGCAAAACGTTTTGAGCAATATTTTTGTTTTACCTTAGTAATATCTTCAATAGGTCTTTCAGATTCTCTTGGGATAAAAATAAGGACTACAGTCAGGATTGCAGCAATACAAACAGCATGAATTCCCAAATTTTTTTGCGTATGGACGGAGACAAAGCAAGCTAGTAAAGCGCCCAGCCAAATCCCTACAAGAATGAAGAGCCCAAATCCAACTCCAAGCACTAAAGTTGTCATGACCTGGAAAGGGGTGAAAAGATGTTTATTTAGGATTGCAAGTCCACCAAATATTACTGATGGTCTCCATCAAAAATGACCTACAGAAAACTTTATTGACATCTGTTTAAAGGGACACCGAGTAGTGGAGGTTAGAGTATGTTAGATATATTTCTTCACAAGAAAATAAGCTAAGAGCCAATAAAATTCGGAAAGTAAATAAGAAACCTAAGTGGGACGAAAATGGACAGTTCTTATTGACTAATATCATTAAAAGGTAATAATGGTCAAAGTCAAACATTCATACTGGTTACACAAGAGCCCAAACGTGAACCATGCAATTTAACCAGTATCAAAATAGTAGAGAAAAAACCCAACTGGTATCACAAAAGCAAACTTAGATCTAAACTAAATATCGCAACGAATTTCACAAAATTGAAGCATTTACCAAAGTTAGCAGAAAAGCGACACGAAGGAGCGAGGAAACTTTGTTTTCCTTTGAGCTTAAAACGTCGCTAGCCAAGTAACAAAAAAGGTTAAAAGTAAAGCCTCATTTAAGGAGAAAATTCATATTTATAAAAACTGACTATTCATAATAATTTACTCTAGATCACAAAAATATTCAATTTTAGAAGAAATGTGTGGTTTGGGAAACTTTAGAGATGATATTTTTGTGCATGTGTGTTGGTAACAGAATGGACCGGTAGGTCATCCGTAAAGCCGATCCGTATAACTACCGAACTAACGAAAACCGACAAAATTCGTTATCTCAGTAAGCCTTGATCTTTAAAAGACAACAAATATTGGCTTACGACGTCGGGAGGAAATGGCATGATGACAAACTCTTGTTTAAAATCAGGGAAATGCAAGTGGGCGAGAAGTCACTCAACACGCACACAGAATGATGGCGAGGTAGGCTACCCTTCGGTCAGAAGTGTACGTTGGGTTGCCTACGTGCGCGGCTGACTGTGGGTGTATCCACGCGCGCCGCCCTTACTGGCTCGGGACGTAACGAGTTGCAGTCATGATGGATCGGCGAACCCCCCTGTTGTTCAAGTAACTAAAGTACAATTCCATCGCTATAGGATATTGCGAGTGTGAGTGTGGTGAATATAGGGTGATTTTTGTCAGGGGTGGGAGTAGGGGGAAAGAGATGTGGGGAGGTGCAGGAAGTATCTCGCTCACATTGCAAAGTTATTAGGAATGATTTACACTGTTAAAAAAAAGTCAAAACTTCACGAAGAATTCGAAAAAAGTTGCCACAACTCTTTGTGAAATCACAACTCTTCTTCGTTGTCAAAAATTAATAACTTCAGAAATTATTGCTATTGGTTTACAACTATTCCGAAGTAAGAAAGGAAAATGCATAATTTTTGATTACAAAGAAGTGTTGTGATTTAATAGTTGCTTCGTATCGTGAAAGTGTTGGGAAGTCACATTTTTAACAATGTATTACATTGAACAACTTTATCCCCCCAAAATAAAAATCCACGCAAAGAAGTTATAGCGACACCCTTTCCTCCTGCACCACCCCAAA